TTTTTTTTAAATGATGAGCAGAACTTAAGTCTATATTTTTCCGGTCAGTATTTCTTTTTTTAATATGTGTAGTATTTTGTTTTTCAGGAATCTACTAGAGCGCCAAAGAGGAAGTTTTACGAGTCTGATCAAAAGGAGAGAACAGATTATGGTAAAAGGCGGCGGAACGAAGATGTAAACAGCGAAGAAAATGTTCGTTGAAAAGGATTTTTGTATAGATACCTTCAGTTTTAGGAAGTTAGACTGTGCGGGAATTTTGTATTGAATTTATACTGACTGCTACAAGATTACAATTCAGCGACTTGTTTTAGTTTTTATTTATTTGATATTATTACCAGAATATTGTTTTCAAAACTTTTCTGTAAAAAATTCTTTGGTTTTATTCTCATATTAATTCAACCTTGCTTTGCTTTCCAGAAGTTCTTTAATTTTCTAATTTAGGGACTCCAACGGTTGGCACGTAAAAGGCGTAAAGATGTAGTTGATAATTTCTCTGAAGAAAAAGCCGAATTTGGAAGTTCAAACCGGAGAAAAGAGAGGCTTTCTGGTGAGGAAAGACTCACGGATTCTGAGGTAATTTTAGACCTTTTGGTCAGAAGGTTTCAAATAATACTTCTGATTCTAATTCGAGCTATAGTATTGTAGCATTTTATTGTGTCTAATCGTTTAAGCTGATGCATTTTACAGACTAAATAGATTTTTTTTTATGGGAAGACATTTCTTCCGTTAATAGTGGATTGTCGTAACTGTCTTCACACTTTTTTATTATGATATCCTAAGATGTTTTGCCACGAAGGTTTTGTCTTTGGTTTAACTTTTTCATTTTTTTGCGTTGATCTTTCTGTTCTAAGTGCAACGACGGTTTTTAAGTGACTGTTCAAAATGAGATGAAGAAAACTAGTTTGTATAAAGCTTCCAGCGTTCTTGCAGTATTTTAATATTACTCTACAGAAGCTGAGCTATTTTGAGTTTATGAGAAATTTTGTATTGGATTTTCGTATTGCATAACGCCCTCGTTTGAGAAAGTCATCAGTTAAGAAGACTTTGCATGAGAATGCAAACTTTGATAGATTTTGTGGGGAAATTTGGAATTTGAATTTAGTTTATAATCAGGTATCGTATTATGAGCAGAGTTTGAAATTATATACTAACGAAAATATCGTCACTTTTTTTTTGGCACCTGGTAATGACTTGCACCGTACGGGTTGTTAAGTAAATATTTGCTTTAGCGTTTTCATCCTTGCTTTATAGTAATTTTTAAATGCATCGTTTAGTTATTTTATCTTCCATGATTCAGTACAACTTTGAAGCGCTTATTCATGAATTTAAAGGATGAATTAAGTACGCAAGAATTCAACGGTCCAGGTTATTTGGTCGCTCAATCCACTAGGCAAACAGGCGTAAGTGTCTTTTAGCTCAAGAACGATGTTATGCTATTTTAGATTTTTGATTTTAGTACTTCGTTAAAAATGTTGCAGTTCGTTATATAATTTAAGAGAGACTTCTTAAGAAGAAACTGGTTTTTACTATTAATTTTAGAATAGTATTTTTATTTTATGAATAATTTTATGCATCTTTTGTATAAAATTACTCGATTTCAATTCTCTGCGGATCACTCTGCAAAGAAGGACTTTTTTATCAGACTTTTATAGCTTTAATGTCCCAAAGCTGCTGACTTGCCTTTCAAGGTTACAGATAAAATTTTTTAGGTTTCCCACGATGATAAAATGAAAAAAATGTTCAAGATTTATGGGTTAGACAAAAACATTGGTTTGGGAAAACATAACACCGGCATCAAGGAACCGATAAAATTGTCGTCACAGAAAGGGAGAGCAGGGCTTGGCAGCAAAACCAGCGAGGTTGACTTATGTTTTTGGCTTTTTAATAGATCTAAGTTCCTCAAAATTGCAGAAGTTTTAAAACATGTATAATTTTAAGCTTTATTTTGACGAATAGCAAGAAATTTTTGGCTAACAGTAAGTGATGGTTTTTACTAAAATGCTTGTTTAATTGGAGGTTTAAGGGTTAACAAATTTTAATTGTTACAATTTTTTGGCAACTTGATTGTGTAGTCTTTTGATCGGAGAAGTATTTTTCAGTTTAGTAAGCATGATTTTGATGTCTCTTGGGATTCGTCACAAGAGAAGAAGCCGGTTCTTGAAACCCCTGTTTGGCTTGAAGCTAAGGAAGAATCTCGCCAGGAAGTAATAGATTTGCTCGGAAATAAAGGCGTAGATAAGCTGTTGGTTGTTGTAGAGGTATTTCTTAATGCATATTTCTGTGTTAAATTTATGGTTGAGAAATTCTACGTCAAATTTTTCATTTCCAAATCTTATAGTTTTTTCCTTCAAGTCGAGGTTACTCTTAGGTCAGATGGAGCTGGAGTCAGGAAAAAATTGTTTTCTACAGAACTTGGCTAGTTTTGAAACTTGTAACTCTCATCAGAACTGTTTGCTTTCCTTGACAGCACAGTTGCTATATTTTCCGGTTGTTAGAAACTGTTTAGTTGAAGCATTTGATATATATAACTCAAATATTTCAGCAAAATAAAACTTTAATAATTTTCTTTTGGAAAGTGAGCACTTAGAACCAATTTCTATTCTTTAACAGAAAAATTATAAACTAGTCCTTCTTCGTAAATTCTGCTAATTGTGAAGGGTATTTAGCTCATATTCTTATCTTGCAGAAAACACTCTTAAGCGGCTGGACTTTTTCTTTCTTTAGCTATGATCAGAACCTCGTAGGTGATATGATGCCACTGAGCCAAGTCTTACATAATCGTGACGTCTGTTTTACTGTTTTGAATTTACAAATCGTTGAGGTGAAATTTATTGTAGCTATAGGGGTGCAGAGATTGAGGCGCATGAAGTTTAGTTATCACAGTGAATTGCTAGGGTTATGATTTGCCATACACATTAGAGTTCGCTTTTTGTTGTTTATTAAAAATTTTAATTATGGTCCTTGCTGACACACTTTTACCTGAAGGAGATGAAAGAGACGATTGATGATGAAGATCGATACTGCGATCTTAATCTTTTGAAAGAGATGCTTTCGGCCAAATCCGTTTTTGACGAACTTAGTGACCGAGCACTAGTGGAGGCCCGCTCACGTGCCAATCCATACGAAACTATAAGATGCGGTTTTTTTCAGAACAGGTATAACAGTTTTTGACTCTCTGG